GGTCTGTCAACACGTCGGCTACTCCTACGACACGTGTGACCTCAACACAATATCATATAATCCCCCATATACCAGTACTATCAACGCCGCATATGGGGTCTGTCAACACGCCAGCTACTCCTACGACACGTGCGACCTCAACACAATATCACATAATCCCCCATCTACCGGTACTACCAACGCCGCATATGGGGTCTATCAACACGCCGACTACTCCTACGACACGTGCGACCTCAACACAGTCACATATCTCTCCCCATATGCCGGGACATCCACAGCCACGTATGGGGTTTGTCAACACACCGGTTACTCCTACGACACGTACGACCTCAACACAATATCACATAATCTCACATATGCCAGTACTACCAACGCTGCATATGGGGTCTGTCAACACGCCGGCTACTCCTACGACACATGGGACCTCAACACAGTCGCATATCTCTCCATATACGCCGGGACATCCACAGCCACGTATGAGATCTGTCAACACGCCGGCTACTCCTACGACACGTGCGACCTCAACACAATATCACATAATCCCCCATATGCCGGTACTACCAAAGCCGCATATGGGGTTTGTCACACGCCGACTACTACTACGACACGTGCGACCTCAACACAGTCATATCTCTCCCCATACGCATAAATATATACATTTATTTCTAGTATTTTAAACACCTTAACAACCATCTAGCATCCGATAATCCCCCATAACCCACATAGCATCAAGACCTGTCACTACGGTCATTTTAATCTTCCTGGGAAGGTAACATTACCTAGGAAGTTTCACGGTCAACTCGGGGTCAAACTATCCACCCTTGGTCAAACTGGCCCGCAGGGCCTACGACCTCCAAATTTTGATCCGAAAGTCCCTATAGGTTCTACAAGGTCTAGGACACATGTCCTGCAAGTTTGGTCCAGATCGAACGGTCGGATTGCTCACAATCGCACGATTAGACGGTTACTAAAATCCTAGCCCTAGGGTTGGCATTTTCGGAGTATCAGAGACTTCGTTTTACGATCCGTCGAATCCTACACGATCCTAAAGATGTCTAAATTAACATATTATTAATTCAAGACCATCCAACGGTCCAAACCTAGCGAACTCGGATAACGTGCAATATGCGATATCTGTTCGGGACTCAACGGTATCCAAATTGGGATCCGAGCACACTTACGCACTCGTGACAACCTAAGGATCCCATTGGGACAAAAATAAACCTCAGCTACAATGCCCACGCTCCGCCACACGCGCCGGCAGCACGTGGGTGTCCAAAACGATAACCCATCGCCAAAATCACGGCTCAAGATTCCTATCCTAGGTATAACACCCTATTTAGAGTCACTTTTGTTCTTGGGCATACCCCAAAAACTGACCGGAAGTGGCCGGAATCACTAACTCAAAACCGGCTGAACCCTAATTCGAAAATCGGATAATCTAGGCTCAAAATTAATGAAATCCTACCCATCACCAGCTAGATCATGAGGAAGGATAGATTTCCATACCTTGATCTCCAAAAAAGGCGGCCGGACGACGGAGAACGAGCGGTTGGAATTTTCCTTTCTCACCGATCGGTTTTCTACAAAATCTGACGACGTCGTTGTCAGCTGACATCGGAGAACAGGTGGGGAAGGATGGCGGAGTCAGGCCGGTCATTTTGGGACCGATCCTGGCCCAAATGGTGGCCGGACGTGACGGTGGCAACCAGCGAAACCTCACGGCTGTTACGGTACCGGTGGGGGGGGGGTTGTTTCGCGACAGAGGAGAGAGAGAAAGACGTCGGAGAGGGAGAGAGGGCTGAGGGCTTTTCTGACTTTTATAAAAAAATCCCTTTTCCTAATCATTACGATTATGCTATTGAGTTTCATTCGATCATAACTCTCTCGTTACAACTCCGATTTGAGCCCACTACATGTCTATGGACTCATCTCAATATGACTACATATAGGTACAGCCGGAATTCCCAAATGCCTTTCGAATAAGAAAATGGCCAAAATACCCCTATGCCAAGGGTAAATTTGTAATTTCACTCAAATTAATTAAAACGGAAATAAATTTGGAGTCGGGGTGTAAGATCCCACATCGACCAACGGAGAGGGGGTGATGTGCCTAACATGTGCACACCCGCATCTCTCTAGCACGAGGCCTTTTGGGAGCTCACTGGCTTCGGAGTCTAAGGAACTCTGAAGTTAAGTGAGTTGGAGGCTAGAGCAATCCCAGGATGGGTGAACCCCTGTGAAGTTGCTTGTGAGCTCCCAGAAACAAAATCGTTAGGGCAGAGAAGGAGGCCCAAAGCGGACAATATCGTGCTACGGCGAAGCCGGTCCCGGGATGTGACAAGTGAGCATTTACAATCAAGACAGAGAAACTTATCCGCAATTGTAGGAAAAGAAAATAAAACAAAACGTGGGGTTGCAGAATTTGGACTTGTAAAATCACTCAATTTCCTTGTCATTGTAGACCAAGGTCTAAAATATTGATGGTTTTGTAAATATCGGTAGTCCAAAAACACAGAAATTTCGATTGAAATATTGGGATATTATCGATATCGATAAAAATTGAATAAAAACCACGAAAATTGTAAGAAAAACTTAGAAATTTTTCTTGAAACTTTGGAGGATATTTATTTAGTCAATTATCTATTACTTTATCACACAAAAAATTGGAAGGAAATGCATTGCATGATGGGTTTAACTAATTTAAGTTGATTATATAGTGTGACGACAAACACTGTGAGTGTAGAAAATATGTAGTAATTAATGAAAGATGATTATAAACACACCATAATCATTTATTTAGAATGATTTACTACAATATTTTACACTTTATACATTCCATGGTAAGATACATGAGTGACTTAGTATCACATAGAGTTCCTTCAAAATTTGATTTTTTTACACTAACACCTCCTGTTGTTATCAGTTTTAGAAATTATAAGAATTCCCCTTGTTGTTTTAAATTGTTTTCACATAACTCATTTTCATTGATTTTTCATCCAAAGACTAATGATTTTATATCAAAAAATTCTCCAAATGACAAAGTTGGCCTTTGAGATTAGATTGCATATACTTCATTGAGGTTAATTTTATAATTTGCATAAGTAGAGAACAGGGTAATTGAGGGGACTCCAACTCTTAGCCACATTCTAGCGATACTTCTATCACAATGTAGCAACAATGGAGGCAGGGAATGCTGGAGACACGAGGAAGAGTTGAGTGAGGCAACTTACTAGGGACACTAAGGTATTTAATATGTTTTTTCAGTTTTTTTAATATATTTTTTATATATTTTTTTTAAGGATGACTGAAAAGAGAATAAATAGAAAATAGAATTCATATGTTAGCATTCATTAATTGACATGGTATGACACATCACCTGCCACACAAGGTGGTCAATGACAGGATTTGCCCCTGATTCCCCCTCGAAATCTGTGACAAATCCTACTTCCCGTCTAGCATCTGGCAGATGTCGGACCCACTTTACCAAAAAGCCTTTTAGCCCAATTTAAACTCATAGACTATTCGACTTCTACGACAGAGTCTCCCTTGTAACTGGAATATTTTCCAATTTACAGTACCTGCAAATAAGTGCAAGAATAAACCCAACTTCTAGCATGCACAAAGTAAAGGCACACACAACAGTTAAGACTATTCAAATGGACTTCATGCCCTCCATGGACAAACCCAGGATTTGAAAATGACGTGGGCTAAATTTACCTTACGTACAAACATATTGAAACTCGATGGTACGAATGAATTTCATTGATAACAAAAAAAATACACGGGGGACATAATGAGCCTTACCCCTCAAAAACCTCTTATCCGATACCGCTATTAAAATAACATATATTTAAAATAGTCATTTTTCAAATTAGCATAATTGTTACTAGAATTCCTCAAAAAACAATAGCCCAATATAAAGGTGGAGGAAAAGACCTATGTGGAGTTGAGAAGAAGCAGCCTTGGAACTGGTGCAGCTGATCGATAAGAGTGTTGGGTTTTTTTTTTGGTTGGTCAACCAACCTAGTGGGGATTAGTTAATAAGATTGGCCATGGCTAGGGTATTATTTTACTCTTTAAAAAAACAAGTCTCTTGGGCTATAGCCCAGGTTAGCTTGTTAGTAGTACTGTCACTGATGCTCTCTACCTAAACTCAAAAAGAGGAAGCAGAGTAACTAAAGATTAAGTTTACAACTCGAGGAAAAATAGAATGTACAGAGTGATAGTAGCACACTCCTATGGAGCGGATAACAACGATGCCTCGACGTGGTGGTCTCTTATTGACAAAAAAAAGTAATTGCCTTTTTATTGACCCCAAAAAAAAAAAAAAATTGCATGTTCCTTCCATACCACAGTTTTTCACTATCGTGTGACCAAACAATAAAAAATAAAAAATCTCACCATAGTTTACCCAAAAAAAGCAACCATTAAAATAATTGGAATGAAATTTGCATCTCAAGATCTACAAGCTCATTAGACCTAGCTTTGTTATAATGGCTTTGTTCTTATTGACACAACTTATGTTAAACGATAGGAAAATCATTTCCACAAAAGCAGAGGATGACATTTTCAATCTAGGGAAATCATTTTGGAGCTATAAGAAGACTGGCATTACTACATATACCATAGATATGTTCCGTTCATTTTAGCGATCACAATATCCTAGAGAGGGTGATAAAAGTAAAGCTAATAAAAGAAAACCCATTTCAGAGAGGTAACTTCCATGAAATTTCGTATGTTCCTTCCGTTCTTTCTCATTGGAGACGTTGTGTGGCTGAAAAGATCGAGTAATTGTCTTTTCCTTCCACACCACAATTTTTCCCTATCGTGTATTGAAAAGCAAAAGAAATGACTCATTGACGCAAGAAGACTTGGACTCCCATTGGAGACGTTGGAGATAGCTGACCATAAAAACCGTGTACTCTACACCTCTCTCTCTGCTCGCCGCTACTTATCTCTCTCTCTCTCTCTCTCTCTCTCTCTCTCTCTCTGAGGCTGTTAGCTTTGCTTCTTGCTGATCTTGTATTTTTTGTGAGTTTCTTGTTGGCTTGCTGGTCTTGTGGTGGTTGTCTTACCAATTCTCTGGCGTTGTAACATTAAGCTAAAGCTGCTGCCTTGCTTCGTCTCCCTTTTTATAATTGCTTTGTTCAGGTAACTTTAAGATAAAGCATTTGCAGTTTTTAGTTGACTGGTGTAGTTGGTGATGAGGCTTTTTATTGCCAACCCATTATTTGAGATGACATGATATTTTTGTTTTAATGTTGAAATTGGTCCTTTTTGTTCCTTATGAGCTGTGCTAAATAATATGTTGAATTTCTCTCTGCTGAATTGGAAGTAATGTTCGACTATCTAAATTTTCATTTACCAAATTTCAATTTCAATCTTTTTCATTTTTCAAGCGATTTATGATCATCTTCGTATTTATTCAGTTGAGTGTTTGGATTTTTGAATATTTAATTAGCGAAGTTCTTGTTTCGTTGAGTAGTGTTTACAGCAGAAGCAGCAGATTTCCAATGGCGTTGAGCACCCAAAGAGCCTCTGCTTTTCATCCTTCAGCTGATCAGTCGGCTCCTCCTCAATGGAACTACGATGTGTTTTTGAGTTTCAGGGGTGTAGACACTCGAAATGGCATTTTATCCCATTTATACCACGAATTGCAGAACAGGTGCATCAAAACATTCATGGATGATCCAAAGCTTGAAAGAGGGACAACCATTTCTTCTGAGCTCTTCAAAGCAATCGAAGAATCAAGGCTTGCAATCGTTGTTCTCTCGCCAAACTATGCTTCTTCCTCCTGGTGCTTGGATGAACTTACAAAGATTCTCCAATGCATGAAATCCAACGGCACAGTTCTGCCTGTGTTTTATAATGTGGATCCCACCGATGTGCGAAAACAAAGCGGCAGTTTTGCAAGCGCGTTCGCTGAGCATGAGAAAAGGTTTGGGAAAGACACAGAAAAGGTGAAGCGCTGGAGAGCTGCTTTAACAGAAGTTGCCAATTTATCTGGGTTTGATTCAAAGAATCAGTAAGCAACTTCTCCATATATACTTGGGTTTTTCGTAAGCCAATTTATCTGGGTTGCCAATTTTGTTATATCTATGGCTTATACTTTTTAACTTAATCATTGTTCTTCCTTGTAGGTGTGAAAGAAAGGTCGTTGAAAAGATTGTTGAATGGGTGTGGGGGAAAGTGCATCGCACATTCAAATTGTTAGATTCAACAGAGTTAGTGGGAATTAAGTTTACACGTGAGCAAATGGATTTGCTTGTAGCTCCTACAGATGATGTTCGCTTTGTAGGGATATGGGGGATGGGAGGCATTGGCAAGACAACCGTTGCTAGGTTTGTTTATGAAAGCATTTCTTTTCATTTTGAAGTTCCCTGCTTTCTTGCTAATGTTAGAGAGGCTTCTGAAGTTAATCATCTTGTTGATCTACAAAGACAGCTTCTTTTCCCTATCTTGAAGGAACAAATTGCTCAAGTTTTGAATGAAGACTGGGGGACCCATTTCATTAAGAATTGCTTACGTAATAAAAAGGTTCTTCTCATTCTTGATGATGTGAATGCATCAAGCCAACTAGAGAAATTTGCTAAGGAAAAGGATTGGTTTGGTAAGGGGAGTATAATCATCATTACAACTAGAGATGAAAGGTTGGTTAAAAAGCATGATATGGAGATACCATATAAGGTAGAGGGATTAGGTTATGATGAGGCTCTTCAGCTCTTTAGTCTGAAGGCCTTTAAAAAATTTGAGCCTGAGGAAGGTTTTTGGGAATTGTCCAAGTGCTTTGTAAATTATACTGGAGGCCTTCCATTAGCTCTTAAAATTTTGGGATGCTCAGTGTATAAGAGAGATCGAGATGAATGGAAAAATGAATTGGATAAGCTACAGAAAATTCCTGAGACAGAAATTTTTGATTTGCTCAAAATCAGTTTTGATAGACTAGATGAGATGAACAAGAACATATTTCTTGATGTTGCATTTTTCCTTAAGGGGAAGGACAAGAAGGAAGTAATTGAAATACTAGATAGTTGTGACCGTTGTGGTGGGATAAATGCTCTGGTTGAGAAGTCGCTCTTAACTATTGATATTTCAAACAACGTTAACATTGTTCAGATGCATGATTTGATACAAGAAATGGCATTTCAAATTGTTCGTCAAGAGTCTCCTGAAGAGCCCGGTAGACGCAGTCGATTGTGTCATCCTAATGACATCATTCATGTATTAATAAACAATACGGTAAGAAGTTATGCAGAAAATACCAATTTTTGTTTTTTTATTTTTAAGAAAATATGATTTCTTTTTAACTCAAAATTAGACTTAAATGTGGAATTAACCTATCCTTTACTATATTTATTACAGGCAACTAACAAAATTCAAGGCATCGCCTTAAGGATGGCAGACCTTGAAAAGGCGGATTGGAATTGTGAAGCATTCTCTAAGATGATTAACCTGAAATATCTTGAAGTTAATAATGTGATCATTTCCCCAATGTCAATCCCCAGAATTCTTCCTAATTCCTTGAGAATTATGAAATGGAATGGGTATTTTTCCAAATATCTCCCATCAAATTTTCAACCAAATAACCTTGTTTCACTTGAGATGCAGGGCAGCAAACTAGTTAGGCTCTGGGATGAAAGAATTGTAAGATTACTCACCCTATACCATCTTACGAATTTTTTGAAAAAAAAACAAAAAGGGAGTATAAGTTTAAGTTTTTCGGTTGCTAATTATATATTCTACTATTTTTCATGTAATTTTGTACAGGACTTGCCCAATTTGAAATACATGGACCTTAGTTGCTCTCTAAACTTGGCAACAACCCCAAATTTCACTGGCATTCCAAAACTCCAGGTGTTGAATTTTAAAGGGTGTGAGAATTTAGTTGAGATTCACCCGTCCGTTGCATATCTCAAATGGCTTACAGAATTAGTATTCGATGGATGCAAAAGTGTTAAGAGTCTTCCAAGTGTGGTAGAAATGGATTCTCTTGTGTCTTTCAGTCTTTCAGGTTGCTCAAAACTGAAAAAGATTCCAGAATTTTCAGGACAAATGAAAAATTTGTCAATGCTTACTTTGTGTGGGACGGCCATTGAGAAATTACCTTCATCAATTGGACATCTTGTTGGCCTTACTTTTCTGGATGCAAACAATTGTGAAAATCTCTTGGGTCTTCCGAGTGAAATTTGTAATTTGAAGTCTCTTCAAAAGCTCTATGCGAATGGATGCTCATACAATGACAATTACCCAGCAAACGCATGTGGCTATGTAGAGATCCGTATGCCTAATAAATCAAGGTTTTGGTGGGGCCTCCAAAGAAAGGCTTTTGTGTTGGATTCGCTACATGATTTATGGTCTTTGAAGGAATTGAATCTGAATGATCGTGGGCTTTGTGATATTCCGGATGCTATTGGCTGCTTGTCCTCTTTAGAAAAATTAAACCTTAGTAGGAACAATTTTGTTAGCCTTCCTGCAAGCATTGGACGTCTTTCTAAGCTGAGGACATTTTGGGTGGGTGGGTGCCAAAGGCTTCAAGAATTGCCCCATCTCCACTTTGGATTGGTTGAGCGTGAAGACTACTACTGTTGTATTTGGATATGCACAGACGATTGCACTTCCTTAAAAATGTTGCCAAAGTTGAGCATACGAAACGGAAGAAGTCGTGTTGGTTTGAGTTGTTTGAATTGCTCTGGATTGGTTGAGGATGAAGGCCTGGATGGTAGTATAATACTTGGAATGCTCTTGATTGCTCGTGATTGGAGATTCTTTCAGGTTCTCTCTCTCTCTCTAATTTGTTTGCTATAATAATAATAATAATAAATAATCAAGTTACTAAACCATACATGGTACAGGTGTCTAAAATGATTTGGCCTTCTCCCGTTTTCCAAATTGTAACACCTGGAAGTAGAATTCCAGACTGGATCGATAGTCAAAGTGTAGGAGATTCCTTAATTCTGGAGGTACCTCCATGTACCAGGCCGATTTGGATTGCTTTTTGTGCTGTATTTGAAGAAGGTGCCCTTGTGGATTATCCAAATCCACCTCATCGCCTTGAAGCTGAAATTACAATTGAATGCATCGGTTTCTTTGGCAACCCTAAGATTCGTGTTCAAAGATGCCATCTTCTGTCACCTCACCTTTGGACATCTTGTTTGCCTTTTTATGGAATACGCGATCAAGTGATTTCATTCAGAATTTTTTATAATTATTGGAACTATGTCACTGGAAAAACGGGGAGAATATATTGGTCGGGTATAAAGAAGTGTGGGTTTCGTTTGGTGCGCGATGAAGACTTGGAAGAATTCAATCAAATAGTGAAGATGTGCCACTTCACCGACATCATCAGCACAAAAGCAGCTACTCCTCACAATTCAGTTGATGCAAGTGCAAGGGCACGTGGAAATTCTCTCTGCCACAAAAGCTATGCTCTTTCTAAATGGTTTTTAACAAAACTTGTAAAGATTTTCTCCCTCTTTTTAACAACTGCAGTTTTTATGAAATCTTTCAACAATAGCGAACAATGGGGATGCATAGGACTTTTGATTTGGAGGGTAACCACTTTGATTTCCTCCTTAGGCCTTGCACCCCTTTATTTTTTGCTATTGTTGAAAAGTTCAATAGAAACTGCTATTCTTAAAAGAGCAGCAAAATTTTTGCGACCTTTGTTAAAAACACCGCCTCCTCAAATGTCTACACATAAATACTTGAAAGGCTAATGACGGTTTTCTCACAATTGATATTAGTAAGTTCCCATCACTATCGTTTCTAGCCATACATTTGCCAATAGATTCATCACTTATTGTCTCTCTCTCTCTCTCTCTCTCTCTCTTTCATCCATCATGTACTTTTGTTATGAATACATTTTCTGTTTAAACTACTGCAGAGCATTAATCAACTCATGTAGTATATACATGTTTGCAAGAGCTGCATATTTTATGCATTTGAACCAAGTATCTGTTAACATACAGCAAATCAATAAGTAATTACATTAGCAATCAATAAGTATGTTCAGATAGACTGAATTGTTTTTTATTAGACCTAGCTGATCAAAAGTAGTCAACTCAAATTTGGGGTCTTGATACAGGATTTGGAGCTGATCAAAAGTAGTTGCGTGCTTATTGGTCAGGTTCGCATGAAATTTGCACCTCAAGAACTACAAGCTCATTAGACCTAGCTTTGTTATAATGGTTTGATTCTTATTGTCACAACTTACGCGACTATTTCAACTGTTGTCTTATGTTGTGTGTAGGATGGAATAAGCCAACAAGAATTTTCAATCAGAAGCTTAGCATTGAGAATTGCTGCTTTGTTGGGATTCCTACCTTGTCTGCTTCACTTCATAGTTTGTGCAATCTCCTTTAATTATGCAGTCTTCTCTTATTTAGCATATTTAAGTTTTAAATTACCTCATGTAACTTACTGGAATTCTAAGAGGTTCATTAAACCGTCATATAGGTGAGCGTCGTTTGAGAAATGACGACAATTTTTCACCGCAATCAATATGTTCAGTAGAATTGGGCAGTGCTAGTTGTATCTTGAAATAAACAAACTATAATAACATTTTTTATTAAAATATTTGGAGAACTGGATTTATGAGGTACCACATGATTTATGAATGAGTAGTAGGTGTCAATCTAGTCAAAATGTATGTACTCACATTTCCACGAACAACCTTACGTAGGGATATGGATGGAGGGCTAAAAGGCAGTATACAACAAACACAACCCAATTAAGCACAACTGAGGGCCGAACAAACATCCAATGTAATTCAAACTAGAAGTAATGGATCCAAAAGTTGACAGTGATTTTAATGCCATTGTCTTACGTATACAATTAAGAACGAAAATAGAGATCCAAGTAGGATTGTAATGTAGAAGAGCATAAAACTTCAAACATTCAAGATTGAGGCAGATTTAGCTAACATGTACTTCTTGAATCAAAGTACCATGAGAAGAAAAAAGCTAGCACTCTTTATGCTGGTTTATTAAGTCCTATAAGCTAAAGGCATTTAAGGCGTCAAGTAGTAGAAACATATTCCACAAGATGATCTTATGAAACTATTTATAAACCCAGTTAATTTATAAACCAGTTGATAATCACCCATTTATCTATCTATTGTTTTGAATCTTAATGTTGCAACAAGATGATCTTAGGAATGTTGTTTCCGAGGTTTGGTATTTCAGACCCAATTTAAGTTTGTTGCTAATCAATTTATCTTTCAGTGCAGCTTGCCGCCAATTACAATTATGATGATGTCCAGATGAGCGTCACTTGCTTCATCATCAAAATTCAGTTGACACTGAATCAAATTCTTTTTAACAAAATTTGAGAAACAAAAAGGCCTTACAAGGGAAAGCATCAATGGCGCCTTTCACCAACCATACTTTTTCAGCAAATCTCCAGTTCTCTTCCTCATCCGAGTAAAAACTATTACCACCAGAGCAATGATATATCCAAGTAGGAAAATTCAAGCCAGAAATGTTCAATTTTTGGACCCACTGTGGAGGATCTCTCAAAACCAAGGTTATCAAGACGGTTATAACAGCTACTCCAAGCAAGATTTTTGTCACCGGTTGGATCAAGGAATCCTGCATTTAGAGAAGAATTAAGTAGGAAAATTAGTACCAAAAGACATATCACATGTCACTGCAACATTCCACTGTCTGCAACATAATGCATATCAAAGAATCTTGTGGCAAATAAATTGTAAACAGTCCACCTGCAGAGCATTCCTTTAAATGGGAGAAAATCAAATTATTTGTCTTTTAGAAGGAAATGCGAGGGTGGAAAGACAAAAGATACAGGAGATCCTGACAGACGGCTCATGAAATAGACAATAAAAACATAAGAAAGTATGTGGTGCTGTGCTAATAGCAACAGTTTCTGACCATAAAAACGAAAAACTAGCGAAGACCCACCGTAACAATGCTGTGAAATCCCTTTTTTTTTTTTTTTTTTTAGGGAATATGTGGTTGTAAAACTCAGTGTCTATGATATAAATTATCAAAACCTATAAGATGAATCCTGCAGGTTCTTTACGGGAACTTTTGCCATTTTGACTTTTAGGAAAGGGGTCTGTTTTTGTCAGACGAACGCCAAGAAACCCCAAACTGTAGGAACCCATTTTGGATTGTCTCACTATGAGTTACTGCTTCATGGAATCTTTAAATTAACTTTTGGGTAAGAGTTACTTATGTGGTCTTGAGCTACTATCTTTGGTTCTTCCTTTAGCTTTTGTTTTCTTGTGTCCCAAATGTGTGAATTTTCATGTTTGTTATACAATATTTGAGTTTAATTCAGCAAATCTTCAGTTCAAATGCATCTCCCTTTCTCTCAGCTGTTTTTCATGCTTGTTCAACTTCGCCTCTAATATCTTCTCTTCAGTATCTCTGGATTTCCTATGGAAATATCCAAAATTACTTCAAATTTTGGTTATTTCTTTTGGGTCTTTCCATTAAATTTTCTTTTATATTTCTAAGCTAAAATAGGCATACATAACCCTTTACATCTCAACCTAAACCTCAGACTGTTATCATACGTCATCATGTGTGCAAAGAGAATTTGAACTTCAAGCGTCCTCTTTAGATTAAATACAGCTATTAGGTTATTATTTACCTAACCAAATTGGAGGACAATATTTTGTGCCCTTTTTTTTTGGTACAAATGATACAAGAGAAATTTAATATGACTAATGGCTTGATTAAGGGATGGAGTCTTATTTTGAAAGATCAAATTATTACTTTGATGACAAATTTTCCAACAAATGAAAAAGAATTCTTCAAGAAAAATACTGTGAAATCCTACTGTTTAGGAAAGTGTGGTTGTAAAACTCAGTGTCTATCATATAAATGATCAAAACCTATAAGATGAATCCGGCAAGTTCTTTAGGTGAACTCAATAGTCAAAATCACATCCATTCTTAGGCTGCAAACACAATGTCATGTAAACAAAAAGAACAGAAAACAAGCATGGAAATGATGGCTCAAATTCAACGAAGTCAATTGCTATAATATATCTTGCTTTAAAGGTTTTGATTGTATGGAGGAACTACCCTATTGCTAATTGAGAGTGACCTGCAGCCTAGTTCATTTATTTCAAATAGTTGGAATATCATGGCTGCAAACCATGAAAATATAAATTGCCTTAACAAAGCATTCTCAATATGAAAAATTCCGCATCAAATGTCAAACACTTCTCCATCTATTCTATCTCACACTCAAATTCAGTATCTCTTATGACCGCATTAAAGTTACATTTATTTCTACCCAATGCAACCAAATTTTCTCGGCAACCAAACAGAAACTTACTTCGATTAATTCCACAAACTGGGTTTTCATAAAAAATAAAAATAAAAAGATATAGAAATGAAGTACCTTGGGCTCTCCGTCAATGTGAACCGTAGATCCATCTTTATAAGCCAGCATAGACCTGCCGTTCCTGGGGTTAAACCGGATCGGAACTCCGCGACCCGACCCGGTATTGAAAGAGAAAAGCGATTTGAAGCTACTTGTCGAGAATGTATCGGACCCCCAACTCGTTCTGGTCCCACCCCCCGAGGCTCATCCTGAAAGTGTCGATCGGGCCTTTTCCTCGCCAATACAAGTAGACCTCCACCTCTGGAACCTTCGTCCTCGCGGTGTTCAGATTCGGACTTGGGTTCCGGGATGACCTGTCGGATTTCGGGTCCGATTCCTCGATTTCGCCAACTCTGGGCGGAGGCCCTGCGAAGAATAAAGAGGTCAACGCGCACAACAATATCCAGGCTGTTTGCTTTGGTTGCTGATTGAAATAAGCGGCTTTACCACCAAAATACTCTATTTCGCTTTTGTGATTTTTTCATAGATGTTTTTGTGATATTTAATACTCGTGATTAAAATAATCTTTACAAACACCTAGAAAAATTACAAAAACTAACAAGGTTTTGTTAAAGGACTCTTGAGCGTGATTGAAAAAGGCCTCGTGTCGTGATCTTTTTTCTCATGCTTTATGGCTGTGTCTTTTTTTTTTTTTTTTTTTTGGGCAATCGTTAATCATTTAACAATATTGTAGATTATAAGATATTTTATCAAAACTAGCTTCTTGACACACGTTCACGCATGTGCCAATTAGTTTTCTTTTTTATTTTTTATTTTATTTTTTGAATTAAGAAAAGATAATATGGGTAGTTATGTTCCATAAAAGTAGGAGTTATTATCTGATTTTGTTTTTAATTTTTTTTAATATGAAAAAAAGTGAATTTACCATATTATCCTCATTTAATTAATAATTTTAATTCTTAATATTTGAATTAATCAAGGGCATTTTATGGTATTTTGAATGTTTCACTATTCTCTACCTTTTGCTTTATATATATAGATGACGAAATTATGTTGATAGTATGGGCCTGCATACGTATGAGTTGTCATTCTTTCTAGTTTGGTTACAAAAGATTTTAGTCGTTATAATTGTCTGATATATAAATATTATTTTGTTTCTCTATGCATAAGGTATTAATCAATGTACAAGATATTTACACCATAATCAACTGAGCATATCCAGCATTAAAACGACTAGCACCAAGGCAGACATGCCCTCTCCCCCTACTGAAATACTCTAAAGGGACACACAGAAAAATCCCCAGAAGTGACTGACGTCATTACCTTCTTCCTTGCCAAAGGAAGACACTCTTTTAAAGCTGCAGCCACCTGCCGAAGCTCTCAACTGTCGAACCTAATCTCCAAAGACACGTGTCACCACCATAACAACTTGCACAAAGTCCTACATCGAAACTTTGCCCATAACTTTCATTTCCACTTCCCTATAAATGAGGAACAGTACCCGAGTAAAAGAGGTAACTATTTTCTCACATTTACTGTTACTCTGCCAAAATTACCACATATAGCTGACTTAAGAATTGGAGAGCCTTCGACAAGCACCACATCGGTGTTTGAAGCTTGACGACTGCTTCTTCCTCCTTGTCTTCTGCAGGTTCTCCCAACTCCGAAGGTCCTCGCCTTCTCCTCTGCTGAAGACTCTACACTCTTCTCTAAGTTGACATTCCCAAAAAGAGCATCAACACAAGACATACACAAAATTCAGGTACCCAAAATTGCAGACAATCTAGTTATCATTCTGCTCATGCTAAATGGATATTTTCCAACAAGGAAACTAAAGTAGACATGTTGCTGCTCAGTTTTTTGCAATTTATGATGGCACTTCCCCATTTCAGTTATTAGTATTACACTTCCAATAGCTAAAACATGTGTTTAATGTAGTAGCTAAGGCAAGTCATTTCCTTTCACGGATTGCTTGTCAAAATGTACTTTGACTTAGTAGTAATTTCCATGCTAAATTTTCATTGGTCAACCAACTGACTAGAGAATATTATACTCAAGAAACAAATAAAATCAAGAAAACACAACTAAATACGGGGTACTTCCTTATTTACATCGTAAACTTAAGTAAATGAAGTAATGAGCTGACCTACTCAGATTGGGCTAGACCATGGATGGGTCTTATCGAGCCAAGCCGAGAGCGGGCCGAAAATTTTAAAACTTTAACCCAAATCCTACCCAACCTTAGAATGGGCCTAACGCCTAACTATTGGGTCGGGCTACCCACTTCAACTCGTAGGCTGTGAGCCAAATGATGACC